CCCAGCCAAAACGCCACTCTGTCCCATGTCACATCCCTTGATCGATGGCTCGATTGTACTCCAGTATTGTACTCCCTGATATTGCCTTCTCTTCCCTTCCCCCCTCCCCTCCCCACAGTATTATACATATCATATTTCACTCCGTGTGTCCTTCTCTCCCTCTCACTCCCTTTCCTGTTGTCTCTCTTTGTCTCCAAATCGGTGTGTGTGTGTGTGTGTGTGCGTGTGTGTGTGTGTGTGTATGTGTGTGTTTGGGATGGCGGATGTGCGGATGCCGAGGAGGGGGCCCGGGCTGTTTTTCGTCTCCCGCACGTCTTCTTTCTCGGTCTCTGCGGGCAAGCATACGTACATGTCCCACCCCACGGGCGCCCGCCGGGGAAGCAAGCAAACCTAGCCCCTGCGCGATGGTCTCTAGCTTACTCGCCCATGTGCAGCTTTCTCCCTCTCCCTCTCTCCCACTCCTTCCTGCAGGGCGGGTTACTTCACGTTTCGGAATGACTCGGTCGAAGGCATCCCGGTGCGTGTCTGTGTGTGTCTATGTGGGTGTACGCGAGCGCCAAGGGGGAGACGTGTGAATGCAAGGCGAGATTTTATTGTGCTCAGCACCAAGGGGAGGGCACATGCACGCCGGAAACCTGCCAGAAACTCGGAGGCCAGGTCATGGCGGGCAATGTGACGGCCATTCGAGCAGCGACAAATATGTACCGAGGGTGTTTCTCAATGCACCCACAGTCACACCCACTCACACATGCATACGCAAGTGGATGGGGGCACACACACACACACACACACGCACACCTGCATCCTCCCCTCTCTGGCTCGCACTTCAGCCATGCGCGCGGACAAGATCTGGAGCTGAGCGAGAGAGAGAGAGGAGGAGGAGGAGGAGGTGGTACTTCCCCCTGTCAAGAATAAAAGGTGTCGGAATCCGACGCACCCCCCTCCTCGGAGGAATGCTCGCTATTGCCCTCAAGGTACCTGGAGACATACAGGGCATTGGCATAGCCGAGCGGGTCCTGATCCGGATGGGTAACTGAGCCCGGCAGGAAGGGCGGCGGCACGAGGGGCCTCACCACCGGTGGGGGAGTGGTGAAAATCTCGTGCGACAGGATCTGAAGAGCGGTGGGTCTGGGTGCAGGGAGGATGCCCATCGGACCGCAAGTTAGTTGCACGATTGGAGATGGGAAGCGGACAGGGACGCGGATGTGGAAAGGGAGAGGCAGGGGGAAGGAGCATGGCAGCCTGGCGGGGGGCAAGAGGGCATACCTGTCCTTGGGATTGCGTGAGAGGCAGGCCACAATCAAACGGTAGAAGGCCGGCGGGAAGCCCTCCTTCACGGTTCGCGGCAGCGGCGGGAAGGGCCGATCAAGTTTGTCGATGAAAATCTACACACAAATGGGGAAAGGTCCCGCACCCCCGAGGCAAGGTCAATACACAGCACGAAGTGCCCGCTCTCTGCAGGCAATGTAGGATCGAGGGAGGATAGTAGGCCTATCTGGAGGGGGGGGGGGGGGGGGGGGGGGGGGACGCACCTTCATCTGGGGCCAGTCGCTGTAAGGTGTGCAGCCATAGATCATCTCCAGGCAGGTGATGCCAAAGGCGTAGATGTCTACCGCCGGGCCGTATGTCGAGTCCTGGGCAAGTAGCTCCGGCGCCATCCAGTCCGGCTCACCGATGAATGTGTGGGCCTCCGGCGAGATGGCCCCCGATGCGGCCACCGCTGGATCCCACATCTGGGCCGAGCATTGGCCTTCGGCGGCCTGTCGGGCCAGCGAGCAGAAGTACTCGGGGCGTTGTGAAAAGAGACTCATATTGCTGAGGCCCGTCAAGCGGACCTGGCCATCTGGGTCGACAAGGATGTGCTCGGCTCGAATGTCACTGCGCAGCAGGGAGGCGTGCCGGTTAGATAGTGGCGCGAGGAGGGCGGCGGAGGGCCAAGAAGCAAGAGGAGTGGGGGAGTGGGGGGGGGGGGGAGGGCGGACGGGCGGACGCGTCCGGACGTACTTGTGGACAAGCCCGTGCGAGTGGAGATACACCATGGCACGAAGGACGGGGCGCAGCAGACATACGACAAATTGGAAGTCATTGAGCCCTGAGCCAGGCATGTGCCCTGGCCCCGGGGCATCGTCATTGTCGCTATCCCGCGCCTCGGGGGCGGACGTGGCTGTCGTGGCAGCGGCAGCTGCTTGTGAAATGAGCCCGCTGACCGAGCCCCCCGACATGAGGGGCATCAGCAGCCAGACACAGATGTCCCGGTCCTCTAGGGCTTCGCCAGCATCGGGCACCGGGTCGCCTTCCTCGAAATCCCAGACAACCGGCGGGAGGGCGTCACCGGCCGACAGGTTACCAGACGAGACGGCGTCTGCACCCAGGGAATCCGCCTCCCCATCGCCATCCTCATTGGGCAGGGGATCCGCCGTGAAGGTTGCCAAGATGGGAAGAATGTGCGGATGGGAGAGGATCATCTGCCGCCAGAGGCAGATGCCGCGCTGTGTGTGCGTGCGTGTGTGTGTGTGCGCATATGAAGGAGGAAGGCAAGACAATTAGCGCTCTGCAAAGTGTGCCAAAGCCAGCCCCTGCCGAACGAAGGAGAGGCCGCACCATGGTGGCCTCCAGGCGCTCGAAGGACACGCGGATGCACTTGAGCGCAAAGAAACGGCTGGCCGTGTGCAGCGAATGCGGGCTCGGGGAGTGATGATGCCCGGAGGACGAGGCCGACGGCTGGGAGAGTTCATGCGCCGAGGTTGACTGGGAGGAGGGGACGCTGTGCGAGGAAATCAAATTCTGAAGCGCCAAATAGACAACCACGCGGCCGGAACTGCCGTGTCCAATGGGCGTGAGGTGAATGTCGTAGTCGGCCAAAGAGGAGCAATAGGGTGGCCGCAGGTGCGCAGGGAGCCCGGCCGTGTGGATGTCACTGAGGGAGCTGACGGACAAGGACATGGGGTCTTGCCGGAGAAGATGGTTGGGAATGGGGGGAGGTGGCCGGCTGGGGGCCGGGTCCGTTGAGCCCTGTTCATGGTAGCCGTATGCGGACTGCGAAGAGCCCCGGCGGCGGAAGGGCTTGCGCTGGGTCAAGAGGAGGGTGGGGGGAGGAACAAGGGGCTAGGTCAGCAGGGCGGGAGGATGCAGGAGAGAGAGGGCGGGATGCGGCAGCGGGGGG